CTTAGTCTCCCCAGCTCCCAGCTGAGTCTCCACAAGTCAGGGCATCCGCAGGGCTCTGCCTGGGGCCCCTCGAGGCTGAAGTGGGGCAACCGTTGGCTCACCTGGTTGTGCCCCACCCGCCAGTCATCACTGTCTGTGTTCATCTCGGGGCCGGAAAACTCGTTGGCTCCTGTTTTGTCCACTTTTGATGCTGTTTTATGTAGAGGTTACATTTGGTCTCCTTGTCCCCATCTTTTGTGAGGCAAACGTCCCCACCCAAAAGCTTCGGGTGGCCCTTCACTGCTTGTCAGAATTACGTTTTCCTCCCCCTCCTCCTCCCCTGCATTTTCTCCTTGTCCATCTCCCTCCTGTCTTTCAGCAGCAAGAGAGCAGTTAATAGCTGCCTGCTCTTATCTTCCGAGAAGGTAGCCCCTGAGCCGTAGAGAAATCAGCCCAACTTCTTCCTGACCCTGCGTCACACCGTGAGCACAGCTTTCTCCAGCCTCTCCTTCTGTCCTGCGGCTCCACCTCCCTCTCCCATCGACACCTCGGCCCCCCTGCAGCCCGGGGGCCAGGGCCAGTCTGCCTCCACCACCACACCTCTCCAGTGCCCGTGACCTTCAGCACCGCCACCCCCCATCTGCCCAGTCTGAGGACCACAGGCCTCGAATTCTCTATTTATTCTTTTCTAAAGATAAATTCAGTAACTCGTTTAATGGACTCTTCATCATCGCCTGTGGTCCCAAACGTAAGGCCATGTGGTGTGTGAGTGTGTCTGTGGCCGGACAGGACCAATGCCGGTGGCGGGTCCCTGCCTGAGGCACCCCTGACCCGGGAGTCATGTACCTAACAGCAGCGGTCATGGCTCAGTCCGTGGGTGACTCAACATGAAGCTGATGTCCCCGGGAAAAACATCAGCGTCCGTGTTTGAGATCCCTCGTTTTCTTCCCCTTGGAAGCAATTCAGGGGAGTTGCTCAGCGCGGTGTTAGGACTCTGACCCAACTAGTTATGGGGCACAGTCGCAGCTGCTGCTGGCCCAGGCTGCTCAGGGCGACGCAGGGCTCAGAGAAGCTTCCTCTCCCCACGACCGGCCCGCACGGCTCCCCAGCCCCTCTCGGCTCACACGTCACAACCCCGGCAAGAGCGCGTGGCCTCACGCAGAGGAAGGAAGATGGTGGTGGGAGGACTCATCTCCCTTGGCGGTGAGCATTTCATTTCTCCCTTCCCAAACCTCCGCTAAGGGCTAACTTTACAACTTGTATTATAATCTACTTTATGCACAACAGTGAAACTTTACTGCAGCATATGCCCGTTCTATACATTCACGCATAAAGCATATTCTAAAAACCCTTAGTCAGAGGCTCGTAACGCAGCATTAAACCCACACCGTATTTTCTCCACGCATTCGTAAAAAAGCATTCCGTTCTTGGGAAAATGTTATTAAGAACTTTGACTCTGGGGCGGGGGATGCATAGCGCGCTTGAGCATTTTGCGAGCAGAGTCCGACGGCCTCCGGCCTGGGCACCCGGTGGGTCCAGCTCTGGACGACCCGCTGGAGCACCGGCCACGGCATTGACATAGCCCGTTCCCTGCGCCACAGCAGCCGTGAGGCGAGGGCTAGCGGAGGTGGCGTGCTGCGTCTGTTTGGGAAGTGAGATGTCACTTCAGAAATCACATACGGTTATTTACAATCAACAGGAGATTTCCGGCCGGACTAGAAGGAATGGAAGCAACGTTAGTCAGGTAATTCCAGTTCTTTCCGGATTAGCATCTGGTCCCAGGAACCCCCGTAAACGAGGTGATTCTGACTGTTACAGATCGTGGGGTTCCCCTCAGTCTGCACGCAGCAGATCTATCTTGAAATCATATCTGACATTTTGCACTGGATTTGCAGCCGGTCACCCGCACCAGCAAAGGGCAAATCAGTCGTCTTCCCCGAGCAACCTCACCTCTTCTCCCAGAGGCTGGGAACTGGCCCCCAGGGCACACCCAGTGTCACACACACACACACACACACACACAGCCCGGCCGGCATGCCCAGTGTCTCACACATGTGCACCCACACACACTCACACTTACTGAAATGCGTACCCACGTAAATTACACAGAGCTGTGTGCACGCACGCACATGAACACACACTCATGCACATGCACACAAGTACTCAAACATACTCATTCTTACTGACATGTGTACCCACGTGAATTGAACACACACACACACTTATTGACACACATACCCACATGAATTGCACAGTTATGTGCGTGCACACACACACACATGGATGCCCACACACACACACATGCCTGCATCTCCAGATGCTCCCATGCACTCTGCAGAAAGCCAGACCCTGCTCTGGACTCACACCTGACCAGGGCCTAGTGAGGGGCAGCCTGGTGACCTCTGCAGCCAGCCGGGAAGCCCACACAGCTGCGGGAAAGGCGGCAGGTCCCCCCAGGCCACCCTCCATGCTCTGTTCTTCACAAAACTTCACAGGACGTCCACGCGGCAGGTATCGGCTGGACACCGCCCAGGGCACTGGACCGAAGCCCAGGGTCGCACAGCGGCCGTCAGAGGGCAGGAGACTGGACATCCAGGATCAAGTTGAGGGGGGCTCTCTGGGGTCTCTCATGTAAGGACACTAATCCCACAGGCGCCCCTTGACCCGCACACCTCCCAGAGGCCCTGCGTGCTGACATCATCACACCCAGAGTTAGGGTCCAAGATATGAAGCCAGGGCTGGTGGGGGACATGGTGCTCAGTGCATGACCCTGACGAGCAGGGCCCCAGGTCAGGAGGATGGGGGTACAGCCTGGGCGAGCCACGTGACTCCAGGAAGACAGCGAGAAATGCAGGCAGAGCACTGTTGGGGCTCATAAATGCAAGACAGACGGTGGAGAGGGGGGAGGGGCAGTGTCGGGTGTGGACCACAGAGTGCCCGTCACCCCGTCTCAAGGCTTACCTTTCCCTCTCTGCCCATAAGGACGCCGGGGAGCTGTTTTCTATTTTGGAGAGAGATAGAGTGTGAGTGGGGAAGGGGCAGAGAGAGAGGGAGAGAGAGAGAATCCCAAGGAGGCTCTGCACTGTCGTGCAAACCCAGGAACCGTGAGATCATGACCTGAGCTGAAACCAAGCGTCGGACGTTCAACGGACTGAGCCCCCCCAAGCGCCCCAACACTGAAGAATTTTAAGAAACAGAAAGAAGTCTGGACACTCAGTGTGTGTGTGTGAAATCACACAGTGTCTTCCCACAGGCCACACTGTGTGCTGATACACGTTAGCGTTTGCCGTGTGCACGTAGCTCCTAGCTGGTGAGGAAAACACATTCCAACGCCTCCCGCCCCCTGCCCTGTGCCCTGTGTCCCCGCCGTCGGACAGGCCAGCTGACCTTCCCCCGGGAAGTCAGATGACAGTTTACCATTTGCACAGAGTGTGCTGTTGAGAGCTCCCCTGTACGTGACTTTCATGGGTGTTTCACTCAATATGATGATTTCATGAGATGTTCTTCACGAGAACATATTCATTCAAGAAAGACTTACTCTGTGTTAGCAAAACGCCCCACGACCCCTCCCACTGCCCCGGACCTGGACTGGCCACGTGGCCCGCACTGGACACTCGGATTTCCACGCCCGTCACGGCTTGCTCGCCCGCTGCTCCAGGAATCCGGCCACCACGGGAACAGACTGGACTGGCCTCAGGATGACAAGCAGCGGGGACCAAGCCACCCCGCTGTCCCTGGGGAGCCACAGCCCTGTGCGGGGTGGGTGCACCAGCTGGCTGTAGGCCCCGGGCCTGACCCACACAGACGGCACAGAGACGGGCCCACGGACGGCACACGGACGGCCCACGGACGGGCACACGGACGGGCACACGGACGGGCACACGGACGGCCCACGTCCTAACCAGCTACGCCGCCGAGGCCGAGGGGCGCACGCCCTTCGAGCCCCGGGAAATACTCGGAGGTGAATGACGCGGACAAAGTGCCCGCCTCGCTCTGCGCTGCGCGTCCCGCTGCAGGGTCCCTGCCTCACGACCTCTGCGCATGTGACGATACACACTCACATAGGGTTTATTTCTGGAACATTCAGGTTTCTGTCGTGAAGTGGGAGACCCTCAGGAATAGACAAACGGCTAATTTATTTCTCTTTTCTTCTTGAGAAACCGACGTGCTGTCCTCCAGGGGGCGCCGGAGGGGTCGTGGCGCGGAGCACGGGGGGGCGGGGGGCGGCCGGCTTCGGGGGACGTGAGAGTTGGGGGGCGGGGACACGGTGGGGGGTGGGGGTCACGGCGAGGACGGCGGGGGGCGGGGGGACACGGTGGGGGGCGGGGACACGGCGAAGGGCGGGGGTCACGGCGAGGACGGCGGGGGGCCTTCCTGGTGGCGGCCCCCGGACCCGGGCCGAGGCGTCGTGCGGGAGCCCAAGGCTCTCCGCGTGTCCAGAGACGCGGTTTCCGTGCGCCCCGCGTCGCCAGAGCAGGCGCAGCAAAGAGCAGGCGGGGAGACGGGGCGCCCGCGGCGGCCGGGGCAGGGCGGGGTCGGGGGAGCCCCACTCAGGGGCGGCTGCGGAGGAGGGGGCGCTGGGGGTCCTTCCGGGGCAGGAGTGAGGCCTGCGCGGGTGGACCCCTGGCGGTCGTGTCGCCGTGGTGAGACCCGACCCGAAGCAGAGAGGAGGGGACACGGGGCCGTGGAGAGCGTGGGCTGGGGCGTCCCACCTGAAGCACCTAGGGGCGTCGGGAAGAGCTGGACTGAGGGTGTTTGCGGGAGGTTTCCCACGGGGACTGCGCCGGGACCTGGGGAAGCCGCGAACACCTCGCACGCCCTGCTCCTCCGCGCCCCCTGCAGCGCCACGCGGGCCCAGGGGCTGGGGAACCCCGACGCCGCTCCGCCCCGCGCCCCGCGCCCCCCCTCGCGCAGGCAGGTGGTCTGGGCTTGCTTCCAAAGCTACTCAAATTCTAGAACGTCGAGTGCATATCGGTGTCACAGCTCAGTCTGTTCAGTGATGAACGCAGTGAGACGGGGTCCCCAGGCGGGGAGGCCTGGCGGGGGACACAGTGACACGGTGACCCAGGCCCAGCCTCCTCTCCCATAGGCCAGCGATGCAGGAACCGGGCACCCAGGCGAGGGCACGGTCTCCCCACCCGGCCGGGCCGACACCTGTCCGGCCGCCGACCCTCCACAGGCTGGACCCTCTGCCCGCATGAGAGGAACTGGCCTCGGCCTCTGAAGACCGGAGTATTAGCAGCCAACTCCAGGTCTGGGGCGCTGGGGAGGCCGACAGATCAGGGGACAACTGCCTGTCCCCTGGAAAGACAGCTGGTCACTCACAGGTCCCCAGGGGAGGGGGCGGCCGCGCGGGCTGGGGGCCGCAGGGGGAAGCAGCAGGCAGTCAGGAGGCAGACTGGGAACGAGAGAGGGAGCTTTTCCTGGGGGTGAGGCAGGTGAGTGGGCTCCGGACTGGCTGGCGTGGATCCCGTCCGTCCGTGGGCCCTGAGGCTCCTCAGGGGTGTGGGGCACCTGCCTGGGGGGTGGGGACAGGTGAGGGAGGCCCCGAATGTGGGAGCCCCTCAGGAGGGGTGCTGGGCCGGGGCTCTGGATCGGCTGGTTTGCACATGGAGCGGTTTGCTGTCTCCGGATATTGGCTGCCCCTCTGGGTCAGCACAGCCCTTGACGTCAGACCATAGAAGGTGCTGACGACATGGAGTCGTGGCGGGTGCCCGCCCGTGGCTCCCCTGCTCGTGGCTGCCATGCTCCTCCCCGGGGGGGTGGTCCTCACCCCTCTGCCATCTGCTCTCTGCAGCCCGTGGGCTGGAGCCTGAGGACCCCTGAGCGGGCAGGGGTTTGCACAGATATTTGCACACACATGTTCACAGCGGAACTGTTCACAGCAGGCCAGGGGCAGGAGCAACCTCAGTGTCCATCGATGGGCAACGGAGAAACAAAGTGAGGTCCGTCCAGGCGACGGGGTATCGCTCAGCTCCGCGACAGAAGGAAGGAGCCTCTCACGCGCTGCCCCGCAGACGAGCCTCGGGCACACTGTGCTCCGTGAAGGCGGCCGCACACACGGGCCACTCCTGTGTGGACCCATCTCGTAGGAGGGCCCTGGAGGAGTCAGATCCACAGGCGGAGGGCAGAGCGGGGGCGCGGGGGCTGGGAGGGGGCTGGGGAGGGGGCTGGGGGCGGGTGTCCATGGGGACAGGGTGTCCATTTCACACACCGAGGCCTGGAGACGTGGGGACGAGGCTGCGGCACAGTGAATGCGCTTGACGCCCCGACCTGCTCGCTTTACAGTTAACGTGGTTTGTCTTACGTCGTGTCTATTTATGATTTAAAGATTATAAGAAAAAATTACTGTTGTTGCTTATTTTCTAAAATGTATCACACCCTGTCTCCCGCAGGACCCCCGGGCGCCCTGGCCCCGCCCTCCCCTCGCCCTGACCCCGAGGCTGTGAGGCAGGACGTCCCCGGGCCGCGCCTCCTGCCCTCGCTGCCCCACGCTGCCCGGCGGTAGAGGCCCCTTGTGCGCGGCTGGGCGTCGTCTCTCCCCCTGGACCAGCAGGTGTCCCCGGTCTCGGGTCCGGGACCCTCCTGATCGGCTGCTTCCCACCCCAGCACCTCCGGATGGTTGAGATGCTAAAGGTCGTAGCCTCGGGATCCCCAGTCAGTCGGGCACCAACGGGGCGTGAGGCCTGTGTCAGGACCGAGCACGTGCTGACGCCCAGCGGGGACCTGTTTGTGCAGCAGCTGGGCTGGTGCAGGGGGCCCGATGGGGTGTCTGTTCCCTCAGGCACGGACCGGCCTCGCCCCCTTGACGCACAGCAGAGCAGACAGAGCTCGCCATGTGCACCGGCCGCGTGATCGTCACCCAAGCGGAACGGGAAGAGGCTCCTCACAAAGTGAGGGTCTGCAGGGCGTGAGCAGAGAGCCGACTCGGCGGGGGGCTGGAAACTGCTTCCGGGGCCCATGTGTGTGCCCGTGGACGGGGGAGTCGGGCCCCCAACAGGACTCCCCCAGGAGGGTCCCACCCAGGTAGAAACTCAGGCCTGGCCCGACACTGCAGCAGCACCCAAGCAGAGGAGGGAAGTCACGTTTCCAGATAAGTAGACGAGCGGATGGGAAATCCAGGGTCGTGAGATCAGGAGCTGTTTCCCTTCTTCGGGAATGCAATTCTCTTCCTTTCATGTTTCAGGCTCCCGCCGGGCTTCCACGTAGACCACTCAGCCCACCTGGCTCAGGCCGCGGAGGACCCGCTGTGCCGTGCTCCCTTCCCACTCCTCCCGGCTTCCTCTGGGTATGAGCTCTGTCTCTTCCGCTTGGCGGATTCCGTGCACCCGCGGTGCCCGCCTCACTGTTTGCAAATGTTTGCTGGGAGCCACGCTGCTGGACGGTCCCGGTGCCCAGCCCTGTGCGCGTGTTGGGCCCACAGCGAACAGTTACGGTCCCGGCGTCCATGGGGAGCACCCTCCCCGCCCTCATCACTCCAAATCTCTCAGAATCTTTCAACCTCACCAATGCGACAAAGGTCTTCTTATGGTTTTTTAAGAGAATTTTTTGAATGTTTATTTACTGATTTTGAGAGAGAGCAGGGGAAGGGGAGAGAGGGGGAGAGAGAGACAGAGACAGAGAGAGAGCATGTGTGAGTGCAGGGGAAGGGGAGGGGCAGAGAGGAGAGCGGGAATCCCAAGCAGGCTCTCTGCCATCAGTGCGGAGCCTGATGCGGGGCTTGAACCCACGAACCATGCGATCATGACCCGAGCCGAAATCAAGAGTCAGATGTTTATTAACCGACTGAGCCCCCCAGGCGCCCCATGGCATCCCAAGGAGGACTTTTTATTACTAGTTTGGTTGATCCCATTGTGTGTTTATTTGCCGTTTATGCTTTTTTATTTAAATCTTTGCTTATCCTTGAATGGTATTAATTGTACTTTTTCTTGTTGATTTGTAGGAGACAGACATACAATGTTAATCCAGGAAAACATTAAGAACCTAGCAATTCAATTCAGTTTAATACCAATCGATCCAATCAAGTTTGCAGCAGGGTCACAAGCTGGAAGTGAGACACTTTATGTGAGCCGCCGGGAAGGGCAGCCTCTGTGCACGAGCACAGCCTCGTGCGGAGCGTCCTTCCCGGCCCGGCCCGCGAGTGCTCCTTTGCTCTTTGTAACTATGGGTGTCCTGTGGGCCCTGCTCAGCCCCTGCCGTGGCCATCCTCCCCGGGGAGGGTCAGGGGCTCGGCGTGTAGGTGAAGCACCTGTGTGGGCAGCGGGGTCCTGTGGGGGGGTGGGCAGGGGTGTCTGGGGCCCCACCCTCAACTCCCAGGGCTGGTAATCAGCGCGTGGCTTTCTGCTTGACATCAATGACCCTGTTACTGACCTGTAAGTTTTCTTTGGGGTTACTACCTGGGATAATACTCATATATGGAAATGGAGCATTAAAGACTTCAAAATATCTAAATATTCCAGAACCAAGTAGAAACTCTCCATTGTCGTCCTAAGAGAAAATGAAATTAAAAAAAAAAAGAAGGCGGGGTTTTTGTCTGTTTTCTTTCGAGAAAGAACGAGTGTGTGTGCAGGCACGGGAGGGGCAGAGAGAGGGAGAGAGAATCCCAAGCAGGCTTGGCACCCAGCAAGGACTCTAATGCGGGGCTCGATCTCACGACTGTAAACTGTGACCTGAGCCCAAATCAAGAGTCAGACGTTGAACTGACTGAGCCACCCGAGGCCTCCACAAACGTGTCCCCTACTTATCCCATGGAAAACAAATACGAGGCACGGCCACCAGAGCAGGGACCTCACGGTGCCCATTCTGGACTGTTTGTGCCCAGACTCCCGTGTTGAAACCCTGAGCCCCCTGCCGTGGGGTCTGGAGGCTCGGCCTCGGGGAGGTGACCAGGGACAGGAGGGGCGTGAGGGCGGCCCACGATGGGGTCCGTGCACTGTAAGGAGAGGGGTGCCAGGGCGGCGGCGGCCCGGAGAAGACAGGGTGGGTGTGGGCAGTGGCTCTCAGCAGGATCGGAACCTGCCGGCATCTGATGGCGCTTCCAGCCCCCAGACATCCCCTCCGTCCTACAAGGCTGACCCAGCAGAAGGGGTTTCCTTTTCCTCATGAGGATAAACCCACAGTTTTGAGGGCCGTCGGTCCGAGGAGGCTCCCTCAGGGGAACGAGGCCGGCCACGTGTCAGGTGTGTGGCCTGTCGTGAACGGCGTGTGGCGCGCGTCTGCGGAGGATCGGGAACGTCGGGGACGCGGGGCCTGGGGCGCAGGCCGCCCTCCCCGCCCTCCGGCAGCTGACCCGTCGAGCCGGGGAGACCCGAGCAGCCGCGGCCCGCGCCCCCGCTCACGGCGCGGGACCAACTCGGGAAGGGTCTCCGGGGTCGGCGGCCCGGGCGGGAGGCTCGTGCGTCTTCCCGGCGCCTCCTGCGTCGCGGTGCGTTCTCCGAAGCGGAACGTGGTGCAGAGACGCGCAGTAGCTTCCGGCCCCGGGGCCCGCTCCGCGCAGCGTCCGCATGGACCGTCAGGGAAGGAGGCCGGGCCACACGCGGCCGGGAGAGGCTGACCCCTGTGCGGGTCACAGCGCGAGCCGCCGCGATCTGTTCTGCACGGCCGGCTCCAAGCGCATGAGACCCAAGCTTATTTAGAAACGCAAACGCTCGGGGCCAGTTAGGCTGGAGCAGCCACTGTGGAGTCCGCTCGAGGCCGGGGACCTCGGCCAAGCCAGAGGCTCACACCAGCAGGGCGGGGGGTGGTGGGGGGGGGACAGGGACATGTATGGGGAGGGGCACGTATGGGGGCGGGGCATGTGCGGGTAGGGGCGGGTCGGCAGGGCAGGTGGGGCGGGGCGGGGCCGGCGGCAGGGGGGGCAGGGCCGGCGGCAGGGGGCAGTGGCGGGGGGCGGGGCCGGCGGCAGGGGGGGCAGGGCCAGCGGCAGGGGGCAGTGGCGGGGGGCGGGGCCGGAGGGGCGGGGCCGGCAGCATGGAGGGCGGGGCCAGCGGCAGGGGGCAGAGGCGGGGGGCGGGGCCGGAGGGGCGGGGCCGGCGGCAGGGAGGGCGGGGCCGGCAACCGGAGGGGGGGGTCAGCAGGGCAGGTGGGGCGGGGCGGGGCCGGCGGCAGGGAGGGCGGGGCCGGCGGCAGGGGGCGGGGCCGCCACTGCACTCCGGCCCCGCCCCCCTGACGTCTGGCCTCCGCCCCCGGGTCCCCAGCCCTAAAGACCTCCGTCAACAACTGGGCTCGGATTTTGTTCCAAGGAGAAATCCCGATGCAAAGCCAGGTCTCGCTCGTCACTGAGGAGGCCTGAGGTTCCGAAACTGCTCTCTGTGCACCTCCGTCTTCAGCGTGGACTGGGCCCGGAATCGGCCCGTCCGCGCGGAACCTGGTTCTCAGGTTCCCGGCCCCCTGAGACGCCCTAGGGTGACAGCCGAGCGGGGCGGCCACGGCCCAGCAGCCCGAGCTCGGCAACACGGGCCCTTGGAAAGGCTGGGGCGAAGTGGAATTCGGGGTGTGCTGTGCGGTTTGGCGAAGGCCCCGCGGCCCCCACTGAACCTGCTCCTGTCTTCTTCCTAAGATAATGACAAAGGCAGGAAATAATACAAAATTCGGTTCTTAGAAAAAAGCAATCAAAAGCCACTCTGACAGACGGCCTGGAGCCGTCACCCGGAGACGCCACAGCAACTTCCGGAGACGAAGAACGACGAAGAAAACTTCCCTCCAGCTTCAGCATCTCTTAATTTATGTCATTTGTTCATCCATTCGCTTGTGGAGTTTGGGGTCTGCCGAAAGATGGGCTTGTAATGCAGAGGCTGGATGCGAATCGGGCCAGCGTGCTGATGTGATGGTCTGCGCTGGCCGGGCGGCGGGTTTCCGAGGGCTTCTTGGAGGCAGCGGCAGTCTGAGGGGAGGACCGTCGGCCCCGCAGGAGCACGGGAGCATTGGCTGCTCCTGTTCATGAGAAGGGGATTTGGGAGAAGTTCCTGCAACAACAATGCGTATGTTTGTAGCTTCCCCTTCCTGGGAGAGGATCCCCTGGAATCGTAGTTGTGCGGGTGTAGACAGCTGGGGGGGTGTGGACTGTCATCCTGAAGACAAAGTCACAGGAGTCCGCCAGCGAGAGCCGCTCACCCTGGCAAATCCAGGGCCGGGGGGACGACGCGGGGGGCTGCAGGCGGGAACGAAGTTCGTCTGATGAGGCCAGCGGGACCCAGAACCCAAACCAGACCAGCCCCGTGGGGAAGGGAGATCACGGGCTGGCTCCCCCAGCTGGTGGTGAAGGCACCCAGATAAACCCTCAGCTAAGGGAACACGACAGTGTGTAGACAAAGAAGTACATCGGGGTCAGAGGGGCTTCACCTCAGGAAGGGAAGGCTGGTTGTATCGGAAAAGGAAAACATGAAAGTCACCAAAAAAGGAAACGAAGTTAAAACAGCTTCTGAGCATGTCGACAGATGCAGAACATTCCTTAGAAAGTTCAACATCCATTCGTGATAAGTTTCCCAACAACCGGAATCAGGCGGACACGTCCTTTACTGGTAAGAAGCACAGACGGAGCGCCGTCTGCACACATGCAAAACGGAGCACCGTCTGCACACATGCAGCGCGTGAGGAGGCCACACGCCTTCCCCATGGTCGGCGGCCACGTGGAGGTGGCCTCTCTCGACCCGCAGGGCCCCGGGGGCCGTTCAGAGAGGTCACGGCTGTACAGTGAGAACGAGACCAGAAAGAGGGAGACAGGCACTATTTGTTCAGCAGGTGACTTGTAACAGATTGTCCACAATTAGCTACAATAACTACAGCCGATAAAACACTGAGTGGATGTGGGATCTTGTGCGCATGAGGGAACCTTTCACTTCCTTGACAGACTGGAAGGTAAACGGAATACACAGCCGGATATAACGCACTCTTGATGGGGTGACTCGGAAGCATGAAGGTATCAGTCGTCTTGAACAGTATCGGTTGATCCAACACAACTTCATTCAAAATTTTGACAGGGAACGAGGTGAGTCTAAAATTTAACGAAGATTAAATTCCTCCTATGCAGCACACACAAAACCCAATCAAACCCGTTTCTGCCGGATCAGACCTGTGCCAAAGGCAGAGTCGGTGGCCACTGCCCCCAAGACAAGACTGGAGACTGGATTCAGGGGAATGACGACACTTCCTAAGATGCAGAAAGCTCGAGAGCGGACAAAGTTGGCAACGTTAAAATTAAACATATTTGCTCAACAGCAACAAGAAAGGCACAAAGCTTCTGGAAGCACTGGCCACAGTTAGTGGAAACATCTGCCACTGACACTATCAGAGGAGAAGATGAGATTGGCTCATAAATTCTATGAAAAAGTGTTCCTTCCAGTTAGCATAGGAAACAAAGGAAAGCCGGAACAAGGCACCGCTTCACACTCGATAGCCTGGTAAAATCTGTGCAAAGCAGGCGGAAGCTTCCGATTGCCCAGTGGGATTGGCCCCCACCCTGGAAAGTGCCCGCTGCCTCATGGAGCAGGATTGCAGAATAATGGCCCCAAGTGCGTCCCCGTGCTCGTCCCCAAACCCAGGGAATCGGTCAGGTCACGTGGCAGATGGGAATTTGGACACCGGACACGGTTAAGTTTTTAGTTGTCAGCTGAGGTTTAAATGGGGATCGTATCTGGGGTCACCCGGGCAGGTGCAAGGTCATCTCACGTGTGGAGGGAGATGCGGAAGAGTGTCAGGACCCTGACCTCACAACGGCCTGACTGGCTGTCTCTGGCTCCGAGGACGGAGGAAGGGCCACAAAACAAGACACTTGGTGGCTCTGGACGCTGGGAAGAGCGAGGGAAGCGATCCTCCCCAGAGGATCCACCGCCCACAGCTCGCCAGCCCGAGAGACCTGACCTCCAGAATCACAGGGGCGTCATTTTGTGTTATTTTAAACCACTAAGTGTGTGAAGATTTGTAAGAGCCGCCACCTGAAATCAAACCTAATTACACTAAAACGCAATTCCTCTGCTCCCAGAAAGTCGATGTAGCGAAGACCCGCGAGCAGGCGGCAGGCGGCCGGGAGTGCTAACGGCCGTGATTCCTTCCCGGCTCCAGCAGGTGTCGCTGACATGTGACAACGTGCGCGTCTTTTAAAAGTGCAAGTTGATGCATCTTGTGTTGGGCTCACCTGTGAAACCACCTGCTGGGGAGGGCGGAGTCCTATCCACATCCCCAGGCGCTGCCTCCTGCTCCCTTACACGGGCTCCCCCACAGCGCCCGTCACTGACCCTCTCCCTTCGCTGTAAATCAGGCTGCATTTCCGAGGGT